CACACACACACACACACACACACACACACACACACACACACACGGTTTCCATAGCTGTCATTTGGGCTGGAGCTGACTGCTCCCTCTCTCTCCTGGGGAGTGGCTGTTGAGTTTGAACCGCTGACCTTGAGGTTAGCAGACAGGTGCTTTAACCACTGCTCCACCAGGGTTCTGTGTACATAATACCACTGAAAAAGCGATTCAGAAAATAGCATCTGCCTTTATAGTAGTAGTACGCTTTGGTATTTTCTGTTCTCTTTCTATTTAAGCTATTTCTACTCCTCCGAGTTGTTTTTAGGATCCCTTCCTGGTTTTCGACCTGCCATTTAAAACAACTGATGGTCTAGATAAAATTCTCTGAAGTTTTGTAAGAAACATTTTGCAAGAAGTCCTAACTGTTGAAATGCCCGGAGGCTGCTTTCCTTTCAGCAAATGCAGCTTGATGGGGAGATTCCTTCACCTGTTAGCAGTACAGAAGAACCCTGATGGCACAGTGTGTTAGATATCGGGTTGCTAACCACAAGGACGGTGGTTCAAACCCACCAGCTGCTCCACAGGATAAAGATGAGGCTGCCTGCTTCTGTAAATATTAGTCCGAAGCAACTTGGTGTGTGTTTAGCAGTCAGTGTGCCAAGTCCTACTTCATAAGTTTATTTATCTGATTTTTATGAAATATGGTTAATTTTAGTGCATGTTATAAAATAATACAGAGTTCAATCTCAACTGTCTCTAGCAATTGGGCAAGAATAGTATTTTCCAAACTGCGGGGTGCTTCGAAAGTTATTTTCTTTAGTTCTGTTTTCCTGGATGAAGGCTGTGCTGGGCAGCTCAGTCTTAACTATAAATAAAAGTTCTTGTCACAGGCATTTGCTATGAGCCTTGGAGGGTGTGACATTGGGTTTAAAATAAGTCAGGCCCCTGGTGAATACAATCGGGGCTCTCCGTGGTGGCTTTCTGTCAGTGGCAGTTGAGTTTGAGATCCAGTATTCCAGGTGAAGGTGGTAGATGAGGGCAGCTAACCTTTATCAGGGTCCTACATTCATTCTTCCGGTTTGGTCCTGGGCTGGACCCTATGAGGAATTTTTCATTTGGATATTACTATGTATTTGTCCTAAACCCTGTTTCTGTGGGGGGTGATAAGAATCCCTGCCCCCCAGAAAGCTTCATGGATTCATTAAAGTGGAAGTCAACATTACTTGATTCACAGTCATACTCCTGTGTGGTTATTGAACAAGTTGTTGAAAACAACAGTAGTGCCCACACTGCACATTTCTGTCCATTGGGGACCACAGTGCCCCAGCTGCACATTTCTTCTGTCCTTAGATCAGGGCTGGGTGACTTTTGAAAATAAAGTCACCAACTCTTCTGGTTCCTGCTGTGGCACACTTGAGCTACAGTTTGGTTCCCCCACCCCCGCACTTGCAGACGTTCCAAATCCCAATTTGCAACTGAAATCATTTGCGTTTGAATGGAAACGTTTAGGCGAAGAACATTTTGAAAACCCAGAGTCTGTTTTGAAGTTTTAAGATGCTGCTAGCTCCCTCCACCCCCTTTGCTGTTTGTCATCACTGGTGATTGGCTGGTTCTGGATGCAGAAGCCAGCTCCAACCTCACCTGCTGCCGCTATTATGCAAATAGCTCACCCTCCTGTTTAGCTACTCCACTGGCAGCCCTGGAGGTTGAGAAACTCAATCAGCCACCTCGCTGATCAAAAGCTGACTGTAGTCACTCATCAAGAAGAATAAAAGTTTAGGTAAATAAATAAAGAAACAACATAACAACAACCACCACAAGATAAACATGTGACCCGCTACTTTTTAGGTTAGTGAAACAAGAGCCTTGGGCTGCCAGGCATGGGCTGGTGTAAGTGTCTTATTTTAGGATGTGTTTCCCCTGAGAAGAACACATCTCACCTTTTCGTCTTTCCATTTTAAATGAAAGTGGGGCTGGCTTAGAGGTGAGGGTCTTTTCCCACATCACCCCACTGTTGTTCTGCGGTGAAAGTGCTCTGGCTTTTACACTGATGACAGGAAACATGGTCAAAAGTTGGGCACAACATGGGCAAAAGCTTGCCCAGGAAACATGGACAAAAGTTGGGGACACATTGGTGGCACAGTGGTTAAGCACGTGGCTGCTGCTGGGAGCTTGTTGGACTGAACCACCCCATGGGAGAAAGATGTGGCAGATGGAAACCCTGCAGGACAGTTCTGCCAGCCCTGTAGGGTCGCTGTCACAATCAACTGGATGGCACATGTTGATGTTGGGTGCCATCGAGTCAGCTGACCTGATGTCCAGCAGAAGGAGACACCACCCCATCCTGTGCCATCCTCACAATTGTTCCTATGTTTGAACCCGTTGTTGCAGGCACTGTGTCAATCCATCTCAGTGAAGGCCTTCCTCTTTTTCACCGCCCCTCTACTTAACCAAGCATGATGTCCTTCTCCGGGGACTGCACACAGCAACAATATTATGCCTACGAGGGGAGGAGGTGTAGGAGCCTTGGTGGTGTCGTGGTTACACGACGGGCTGTGATCTGCATAGTCTGCCGTTCCAAACCACCAGCAGCTCTGAGGGTGAAAGACTGGGCTTTCTACTCCCGAAAACAGCCATAGTCTCAGAAACCCATGGGGTCGCTGTGAGTCATCACTGCAGAACGACTGGTCGGTTTGAACCACTGACCTTGCAGTTAGCAGGCCAACACCTCACCCCCAGTGTCACCAGGCCACCTGTGGAACGGTTCTGTTCTGCACACGAGGTCACAGGAGTCAGAATGGATTTGACAGCAGCTAACAACAGCATGCCCACTAAATTCCCGAGCCTCAAATGGTTTGCCCTTAGCTGCTAACCCAGCCGTTCTCAACCTATGGGTCGTGAGCCCTTTGGGGGTCAAACGACCCTTTTACAAGGGTCACATAAGACAATCAGAAAACACATATTTTTGATGGTCTTAGGAACTGAGACACCGCTCCTCTATCCGTCTCCAGGTAGGTCCACCCACATGCAGATACGTCCACATACAAGTACCTGGTGTGAAGACTGTTACCCATGCTACATCATGCTTGAAGACAAAATTTCATTTATTTGTCATTAGAAATATTTCACAATATATCATTACAAATTGGTTTTGTGATTAATCACTATGATTTAATTATGTTCAATTTTTAACAAAGAAAATACATCCTGTATGTCAGATATTTACATTATGATTCATAACAGTAGCAAAATTACAGTGATGAAGTAGCAACGAAAATAATAATATGGTTGGGGGTCACCATAACATAAGGAACTGTATTAAAGGGTCGAGGCATGAGGAAGGTTGAGAACCACTGTACTAACCGAAAGGTCGATGGTCCAAAACCCCATGGCGGTGCCTCCTAAGAAAGGACTGGCAACCTGTTTCCCAAACATCACGGCCAACAAAAACCCCCAGCACCCGATGTTGCTCTGCACACAGGGTCGCCTTGAGTGGGAATCTGCTTGACAGCGACTGGGACAATAAGGTTGTGGGGGGCGGGGTGGTTGGAAGGGATGGTGTCTGTTTTCTGATGGATCTGTGGTTGTTGGAAGACCTCCGCCATTCCCATGCTGTCTTATCTCCCCTAGATCCCTCGCGATTGGAACCAAAGCCGGCTATAAGCTGTTTTCCTTGAGTTCTGTGGAGCAGCTAGACCAAGTCCATGGAAGCAGTAAGTGTGTGGCGCTGGGGTGGGGGCACCACACCTGCCTCGAGCCTTGAAGCGGAGGTGCACTTGAGCCTCCTGCTTCCCCTCCCGCATGCCTTCCCCTTAGGGAGCCAGGGTTTACCTGATTTCAGTGTCACTCATTGCCTCCCCTTGCTTAAGAAAGTCAGGGCAGAGCCCGCATGAAAAGTCATCTCCAAATAAAAGTAGCCATGTCTTTTCTATCCTGAGATCCTTTGTTTGAGATTTTGTTTGCTGACATTTTCCACGTACATCCAAGGGAGAGTAAAACAGCTGTGCTACTGGGGCTCTAGTTCATACATGCGCAGGTTTATTCCAAGCCGGACATGATTACACGTAGCTCTGCCATCAGTGGATGGCTGCAGACAAGACCTCTCGATCACCCGCTGACCTTAACTTCATTCTCCCTTCCTTCGCTTCCCTCCTGCCTCACAGCGACCCTGTCTGAGTAGAACGGCCCCTGGAGGTTCCTGCGATGGGAACTCTCTGGGAATAAATGGCGATTATGCAAGCCTCATGTGGCTTTCCCTTCTCCCTCGGAGCGGCTGGTGGTTTCAAACTGCTGACCTGGTGGTTAGCACCCCAATGTGCAACCCACTACACCACCTGGGCACATGCAGGTGCCTTAACAAAATGAAATGGCCAGTTAAATATGAGGCGGAGCGGCCAGCTCCACAGGTTATGCAGGCTGTTGAGGAATTCCAAAGGGGTCATCTTGATAGATTGCCTTCAAGGACATAGGACAGCCATGGGGGCTGACCAGGCAAAAGGTTTCAGAAAATTGAGAACGACATTGATGAGGAAAGGCCAGGAAAGTTAAGCCAAGGAATTTTTTTCTTTTTCTATCATGACAATGCACTTGCTCATTTTTTGAGGGTTGTCGGGGCGATCCTACAAGGGAATTTCATTGGGAAACCCTGCCCTATTCCCTAAACAATGTGAGCCCCTTGAAGACATCGGACTTAGCGTTCTGACGTGGTGTTGGTAGAAGAGGGTGGAATTCTTCGGGGGAGGGTTGGAGAGATGGAAACATTGCCTTCAGAAGTGTCCAGGCCTAAATGGAAGGACGTGTTGAGAAGCCATAGTCTCTTTTGAGAACACCATGTTTAATAAAGGTTTCTATGATTTTGCAGCGATACTTTTTTACTCATCCTTATATATGCAGTCATCAGTTTTTATAATTAGCAACCCCAAAGGTCGCCTGTGACTTCTTTTTGCTATTTTGTTGGCACAGTATAGGTGACAGTCATCCAGGCATGGAAGTAACTTACTATATTGATATTGAGATACGTGCTTGACGGAAGTCGAGCTGATTCTGACTCCTAGCGACACGGTGGGACAGAGTAGAACTGTCCCTGTGGGTTTCCGTGGCTGGAACTCTTTATGGGAGTAGAAAGCCTACAATTTCTCCTGCAGAGCAGCTGGTAATTTTGAAGTTCTGATCTTGTGGTTAGCAGTCTGATGCGTAAGCACTACTTAAGATTAAAAGTAATTTTACTTAGAAACATAACTAGGTAAGTAATAGTTGGTCAGTGTCATGATGGGGAATGCACAACCTTGGGATTTCCTGGGGTGGGGGAGTGGTTTGATTACAAAAAACTGGGGGCTCTTCATTTATTTGTCCACCACTTGTCTGTCAGTCTGCTGTACTGTGGTGGCTGGCGTGTTGCTGTGATGCTGAAAGATAGGACACTTGTATTTCAAGTGCCAGCAGGGTCACCTAAAGTGAACAGCTTTCAACAGAACATCCAGACTAAGAACAGAACAAAGAAGGAATAGGCTGTCAACTTCAAAGGAAGTCGCCCCTGAAAACCCTATGGATAGCATCGTTAGATCCTGCAACCCTCATGCGCCGACATAGAGTGTTCTCAGAGACGGTGCCAGAAGATGAGCCCTTTAGGTCAGAAGGCCGTCAAACTGTGACTGAGGAAGGGCTGCCTTCTTAGAGTAGAGCAGACCATATGGTGTGTATGGAGTGGAGCCTTCAGGATCTTCACTTGCTGATGGGGCACCACTCAACCTGGGAAGAAATGGCTACAAAAACCAACTAATAATTGGAACTTAGAATCGCCGACGTATGAACCTAGGAAAATTGTGAGTTGTTTAAAATGCAATGGAAGGCAAAAATATCAGTATTCTAGGTATTAATGACTGGTATTGAACATTTTTAATCAGAACATACGGTTTGCTCTGCTGGGGATGACACAGACAAGAGGAATGACATTTCGTTCGTTGTCAAAAGTACAGTGCAAGCTTTATCGTCAAGTACAGTGCTGTGATAGGATAATGTCTATCAGCATACAAGGGAATCCAGTCCATATTGACTCTTATTCTTTTTTTAAATCATTTTATTAGGGCCTCATACAACTCTTATAACAATTTGTACATTCATTGCCCTCATCGTTCTCAAAATTGACTATTATTCAAGATTATGCACCAACCTCTAATGCTAGTGATGCAGAAATTGAAGAATTCTACCAACATCTTCCGTTGGAAATTGGTCAGCTATACAACCAAGGTGTATTGATAATTATTGGTGATTGGAATGCAAAACTTGGAAATGAAGAGGAAGGAGCGATAGTTGGGAAATAGAGTCTTAGTGGTAGAAAGTCTTGGTGATAGAAACAAAGCTGGAGATCACATGATAGAATTTTGCAAGACCAACGACTTCTCATAGCACATATCTCTTTTCAACAACACAAACTGCGACTTTTCCAGATGGAAGACACAGAAATCAGATCGGCCATATCTGTGGGAAGAAACAAAACCAGGCCGGCCAGGGGCTGACTGAGAGACCATAGTTGCTTAGATGTAAGTTTAGGTTGAAAATTAAAACAACAACACCCCATTACCATCAATTTGATGCCAACTCCTAGTGGCTCTATAGGACAGGAAAGATCTGCCCTTGTGAGCTGCCAAGAGTGTAACTCTTTATGGAAATCCAAAGTCTTTTCTTTCTCTCGTGGAGCAGAGTGGATGCTGGTTTCAAACTACTGACTTTGCAGTTATCAGGCCAACACATAACAACTACGCCACCAGGATAAGTTCAGGTTGAAATTAAAGAAAATTCAGCCAAATTCAGGAGAACCAAAATACGACCTTGGATATATCACACCTGAATTTTGGAAACATCTCAAGAACAGATTAATTGAACAGTAATGACAGAAGACCTTATTAGCTGTGGGATGACATCAAGGACACATACATGAAAAAAGCAAATGGTCCCTTAAAAGAAAGAAAAGCTCAAAGTGGCTATCAGAAGAGACTATGAAACTTGCTCTTACTAGTAGAGTGACTGAGGCAAATGGAAAAAATAATGAAGTCGAAAAGCTGAACAGAATATTTCAAAGGGCGGCTCAGCTCGAGAAGACAAAGTATTATAATGAAACATGCAAAGAACTAGAGTTAGAAAATCAAAAGAAAGAACACACTCAGCTTATCTTAAACTGAAAGAACTCATGAAAAAAAAATCAAGCCAGGAGTTGTAATATTGAAAGATTCTATGGGTAAAATATTGGATGATGCAGATGGGAATAATATACAGAGTCACTGTACCAAAAAGAACTAGTCGACATTCAGTCATTTCAGGAGGCAGCATATGAGCAAGAATCAGTGGTGCCGAAGGAAGAAGTTCAAGCTGCATTGAAAGCATTAGCCAACAACGCCAAGGCTCCAGGAATTGATAGAATAGCAATTCAAATGTTTCAACAAGCTGATGAAGCACTAGATCTGTTCACTTGTCTATGCCAGGAAATTTGGAAGGCAACTCTTGGCCAACTGACCGAAAGAGATTCATATTTGTACCCAGACCACCGAAAGGTGGCCCAAGAGATGTGCACATTACAGGCAATATCCCTGCTATCACACACAAGTAAAGTTTTGGTGCAGACCATCCAACAATGGTTGCAGCAGGACATTGACAGGGAGCTGCCAGAGGTTCAGGCTGGATTCAGAAGAGGACATGGAACAAGGGAGATCATTTTTCAGTTCTGTTGTATATCGGGTCACTGTGAGTCGGAACTGACTCAACAGCACCTAACAACAGCAACAACAATTTATTTGCAAGGATCCCTGGTGCTGTTATTGGGTAAGTGTTGGACTGCTAGTCACAGGTCAGCAGTTCAAACCTGCCAGCTGCTCCTTAAGAGAAAGATGAGGCGCTGCTGCTGAAAGATGTATAGATTCAGAAATGCTAGATAGGGATGCTGAAATTGGCTCCACAGCCATGGCTCTTTTGCAGGGTACTGCATGTGTAAGGACCCCTGCTGGTACAGCAGTTTAATGCTCAGCTGCTAACCACAAAGTCAGTGGTTCAAACCCACTCATTAACTCCAGAGGAAGAAGGCATGGTGATTCGCTGTCTTAAAAATGATGAGCAACAGAACTGTCTGGGGCAGTTCGACTTTGACAGGCAGGGGTCACTCTGAATAGAAAATCAACAGCATCTGACAACTGTACATGTGAGGCCTCGCTTTCATGACTGCTTCTCTGGAGACTTGCCAAGTGTGTGTCTTTTCTGCATATAGAGAGCTGGAGAGGAGCAGGCGGCCCAGCCCGGTGAGGGGAGCACAGCATTCACTAAGCAACTCCCCACCCCCTGGACAGTCCCTGGGTTAGCAGGAGGGACCAGAAGAGTCCCCATAGCCAGCTGAGGCACCCTGCAGAGCACACGCCCCCATTTCACATCCTCCATCTCACTCACTGCCTTGGAGTTGATCCCAACTCACGGTAACCCTGTAGGACAGGGTAGAACTGCCCCTCTGAGTTTCCAAGTAACTCTTGAGAGGAGTAGAAAGCCCCATCTTTCTCCCAAAGAGCGACCGGTGGTTTTGCACTGCTGACCAACACATCTTCCATTCTATCACCAGGGCTCAGACCCCTCACAGGGAAGTAGCTGCTTCAGTGTTTCCCAAAGTGGACAATGATCCCCCTTTGGGAGGCACTGGGATGATCAAGACGGGAGACAACGCAGAAACTTAGGTTTCATTCTGGGTTATAGACTATATTTGGTACACAAGTTTTTCATTGCCAGAGTGGTTGGGGGGCTGTTAATTTTTTTTTCCTTCTGAAAAGGGGACAATAGGCCAAATAAGTTTGGGGACCTATGGGATAGTTGGGTGGCCCAAGGCTTCTCTGTGTTTTTCCAAGCAAACCATGGACCCCGGAAGTCCTGAAGGGGTGAGTCCGGGCCCAGGGTAGCACTGGAAATCCTGACTGTAAGTCATGAGTCCACACCAGCTTCACAGCAGTGGTTTGGAGAGGGCTTTGGAACTGCTAAGGGGTCCTGGTGGTGCAGTAGTAAAGCACTCAGCCTGCTAACCACAAGTTTAATGGTTCAAACCCTCTAGCTGTCACACGGGAAAGACGAGGCAATCTTTTTCCATCAAGATGATAGGCTGTGGACCCCTGTGGGCCAGTTCTCCTGTCCTACCGGGTCGCTGTGAGTCGGAATCCACTTGATGACAGTGGGTTTAAGTCTTTCCGTCATTGTTTGGAACCAAGACTCCATGGAACAGCTCCCTGGGGGTGGGGGCCAAAAATGAATCACTGCATCATGAGGCATGGAGACCACCCTTGCAGTGCTAGAGAAAGTCCTAGGCTGTGCTCATGCTGTGGAGACAGAAGCCTTCTCCTCGGAGCTGGCGCATCCCCCCCTGAGGGTGGCAGTGTGTGCATGAGCTGTGGGGACAGAGCCTGTACCCTTCACCCCCTGCCGCAGATGATATCCCGGACGTGTGCATCGTGGAGCGACTCTTCTCCAGCAGCCTGGTGGTGGTGGTGAGCCGCACAAAGCCGAGGCAGATGAACGTGTACCACTTCAAGAAAGGCACTGAGATCTGCAACTACAGCTACTCCAGCAACATCCTGTCCATCAGGCTGAACCGGCAGGTAAGGGGTGCGAGGGCCACATTCTACAGTGGGCTCTTAAGGTGTGCTGGGGGAGGCCGGGTGACACACAAGGTTCAACGTTCGGCTACTGACTGAAAGGCTGGGAGTTCAAACTACTGAGAAGCACCTCAGAAGAAAGGCCTGACAATCGGCTTCCAAAAGGCCCGGCCACGGAAGGCCCTACGAAACACCATACTGTCCTGAGACACCTGTGGTCCCCTCAAGTGGCCATTGACCCCCTCCCACCGCTAGCAGCTAGTTTATTGTAAAGTGATTTTTACCCCATGGGATGACGGGCTGTTAACCGGAAGGTCAGCAGTTCGAACCCACCATTGGCTCCAGGGGAGAAAGATGAGGCTTTCTGCTCCCATAAAGATTTGCAGCCTCGGAAACCCACAGCGGCAGTTCTGTGTCCCTGGATTGCCTTGAGTCGGAATCAGCTCAACAGCGAGTGTGGTTTGGGTTTTCCTTTTGTAGACCTTCTTGGTCCTTCTGCCTCATGGTCTTTCTCTTACGGATGCCACTGGCTAGGTGACCCCTGCCCCCAAGCTGAAGCCATCCTGTGGGCTGCGTCTTTGTAGCAGAGGAGCATTTCCAGTTTGGGCACTAGGCCTGGCACGCATTCAGGCTGGCGGAGCTGCCTCTGCAGTGAGACTCCCGTGTAAAGTGGGCTTCTCTCCTTCTGCAGCCAGGCAGTAAAATTGCCCCTCTGCTGCCATGTGCTGGGCCTCAGCTTCATGTGCCCGGCTGTCTTCTTCCCAGATAAGCCTGTGAGGCTCTTTCTCACCGTGTTGTCTTTGATGGTAGGAATATTCCTACCTCAAATATGCAATAGATTCTCTTTAAACGTGTGAATTCATGCTGAATAAGTGCTTGGGATATTAGCTGAGTCTCTTAAAATGTGCCACGACCCAATGTGAAGACCGCGGAGCCTCCTCGTTGGCTCAAGTGCTCTTGCTGACATCTGTGGGCAGCACATGCGATCTCATCGCAGACACACTGATCTCCGTGGAGACTAATAGCCAATACACGGAAACAAAACACCCCTTTTGGGTTATGGCCCCCCAGCCTGGCTATCTCGTTAAGATTGATTGGGCGAATATTCTCCCAGGAAAGCGAAGATCAGAACCCTCAGCTGGTCTGTGTGGTGCTTATTTGTACATCTTCCCCCTTAGCTCTGGTCTTTTCAGTAGCTCATGAGACCAGGAAGTGCCTTTCACAGTCTGCATCCAGTTAGCCTTTGGTGCCAGCCCTCCAGCCTGCACTAAAACCTGTTGTCCAGTTCATTCCAGTCCACAGCAGTTGTGTGTGTTGTGTAGGGACCCTGAGCCCCATGAGGTTGTTAGTGGCTGATTTTGGGGGTAGTAGGTGGCCAGGCCTTTCTTCTGAGGCACAGCTGGGTAGACACAAAGCTCCAGCTGCTGGTTAGCAGGGAGCACATGAAGTATTACACCACCCAGGAACTCCCTCCTCCCAGAGGCATGCGTTAATGCTAAGGTACACACACACACACACACACACACACGCGCGCGCGCGCGCGCGTGCGAAGGAATACTAATGTGCCTGGCACTGCCAAGCAATTAAGGACCGAGCACATCAGAGCCCAGCCCACCAGGCCTCACTTCCTTTGGCTTTTCTAAGGAAATGGGTGGCTTGAAACCTGTCTGGATGCCTGCTTGAGGTTTGTTCTCTTGTCCTAAAGTGCTCAGATTGGGGCCTTAACAACTCTTGTTCCTAGGAAGTCGGGATTAGGCAACTGCGGCAGCCCCTCCTCCCCAGGTGGGGCTCCACCGCTGTGCCTGAAACGGCTGCCTGCCCCGGGCCCTGGTGGTCAGCCTGCTGTCTCGCCATGCCTTCAGGAAGCACAGCCTTTAAGAATAAGTAAAACAAACAGGAGACAGTGGAGGCTGTTTGTGCAGAATGAGAGAAAGCACAATCCACGTCTTCCTTCAAACCTCTGGAGAGCACAATACTAGGGCTTTCCCCTCCCCGTGTCCCTCCCCTCCCTTCTGTGTCACGGAGGAAGGGTGGCATGTTACGGCTCTGCGTCTATCAGCTGTGCAGCTCTAACGCCTCCTCCACCCGCCCTGGGGCCCCTCATTGTCCGGATGGAGGCTGTCTGGATGGAGGTTCCCGATGGTAGAGCTGCCCTGTGTGTTTTCAGACACTATAGTAGAGAGTTTCATCTTGGAGGTGGCCAGTGGTTTTGAACTGCTGACCTTATGGTTAGTCCAACTCATAGAGCAGATTGATGGTGATGCAGAAAATGCAGACTAGGCCAGGCCTTCTAAACCATGGGGTGGGGTGGGGGTTGGAGGGCGGGGGGTGCAGTAAGGATGATGGAGGGCACCAAAAACCAAAGGAAATGCCAGCACAGCCCAACTTCGACTGAGACGTCACCAGGAAAGACCGGTTGCTGAAAAGGATACCATGTTTGTTCCACCCCTTCTGCTGCTACCTCAAGAACAGCTTATTCTGCATGTTCTGAAACACGTAAGGTACCAGTGAGTCAGCGTTGGCTCTGCCGCATCTAACCACCACCACAGGAAGTGCTGGCCAAGGGGCAAGGTGGCCAGGCAAATCCGAAGGGAAGGGCCTAGGGCACCAGCTCTGAGGTCTTGCCAGTTTCAGCACCTCCTGAGTGTGAGTGTGAGTGTGAGTGTGAGTGCCTCCGCCTGGCGGCCCCACACGGAGCTGGCCCCTGGAGGCGTCATGACAATCCATTGCGTTTTCTTGGCCGGGACACGAAGCGGCCTCCCTCTTTCTGAGCTGGGAAGGGTCCAGCGGGAAGGCAGTAATACAGATACAGCCCCATCAGAGACCCTGCAGCCTTTCAAGTACTGAGTGGTATTTTTAGATGCCCACCCTTCCAGCTGCTGTCCTTGGATAAGGGTGAGTGTTTGAATCACCCCAGGACCTTACTGGGAAGACCACCCCCCAACCTTCTCCCCTCAATCAATCTCCATGAAGAGTCCTGGGTTCGTTCCCAGTACTCCTCTAAGTGTGAGAACAGCCGGGGGTTGGGGGGGGGGAGGAAACAGGGGGGTGGTCAGTTACCCCACGTGGACAGAGGGGGGTACTGGAGTGAGGTGCCTGGTCCACGTGGACGGAGGGGTGAGGGTGCCTGGTGGCTACTCCACATGGATGGAGGGTGCAGCATCATAGCTCTAACCACCCACTGTGGGAACCCCATGGGCCCCGTTTGCACTGAGCAGACCTACTGGGCACTGGGGGAAAGGGCCACTCCCTTCCAGTTGGCTCCGTCTCAGCTACATGGCTCAGAGCCTGCCGCTCCTTCAGCCTTCCGTGGCTGTGGTCGATGGGAGTAGCTCGCGAGGCCTCCTTCAGGGTTCCCACCTTGCGGGTAATCACCATGGCTGGACCACCTACAGCACCCAGGAGCCCTGTGGCTTTAACAGTCTCCAGCTGCAGGCCTGCACTGGACAGGAAGGGTCAGCGGCATTGCAGTGCGGGCTGACGGGCTTCTGGGACTCCAGGGTGGGAGCAGCCAGGTGGAAGGAGGGCGACACTGGCAACTGTGAGCAGAGGGATACGCCAGTGGTTTGCTGGTTGTGTAGAGAGAAGGCACTACCATGTTTACCAGGGAGCCTCTCATGGCGAGTGCTACAGAAAGGACCCACCCTGGACCTAGCAGTCAGAGCAACCCCGTGGGGTTGTCTGCCAGGGACGGGGGCTGGCCAGGTAGTGCCCAGAACCTTCATCGTCAGCAAAGGGGAGAATACAGGAATAAAAGACTCCATCTCGATTTCTAAATAAAATCCCTTTTTATCATATCTCCTGTCCAGGTAAATAAAGGTGCACATCTGCGTGCGCACACCTGAGGGCTGTCTTCAGACTGCAGCATCCTGTAGGATTAGCATCCAGACTGGGCTTAGCTTAGGCATGCGGGTCCTGGGCTTGGTCGGTGTCTGGGCTGAGGGCTGCAGGCTGATGCACCTGTGTTGTTGCAGAGGCTGCTCGTGTGCCTGGAAGGAGCCATCTACATTCACAACATCAAAGACATGAAGCTGCTAAAGACCATCCTGGATATCCCTGCCAACCCGACAGGTAAGCACTGAGCACAGGGATGCTGCCCTGACCTGACCTCAGCAATGCTCCTGTAGATGTCTGTGGCCCTTCCCTGGAGCCTGGCTCCAGTGATGGCAGGTGCAGACCCACCCCTCAGGAGAGCTGCAGGACCTTCGGTGCGGCCTGAGATGAACCCCCTTCATCTGGGGCCTGTTCTCAGCAAACGCGCCTGGTCGTGTAAGACCACTGAGCTGACAGGGTTATGCAGCTGATGTGGAAAGGGCTTGTTTTCCCCTCGTGTGTGGTAGGTGAGCCTGGGTCGGTGTCATCATCGCAAGCAGGTTCTGACTTGGCAGGTCTGCATAGCTCCGAGAAAGGCCTGCAGAAACTCACAGCGTTCGTTCTGTTCTAAGAAAAGGTGTTCCCTGCACTCCGGCGACATGTGGTGCAAGGTGGCAGGCCTTATTCGGTCCACAGGGTTGAACACCAGTTTATAAAGTCCTGGCATTCGGGAGAGGGAATCATTTGGATGTGTTCAATTGAAAATTCAGCTGGTGATGTCTTTTTGATGAGTTTGCCAGTGTCGGAGTTGAAGAAGCAGCTGTCTGTTGGTAGATGGTCAAGCTGGAAGTCATCCCACGGGTAGTTCCACATCCCTCTTGATTCAGGTTAATATTTGGGCATGATACTCCCAATTCCGTGCCCTCTGTGGCAGCTGCAGGTGACTGGAATTGTCAAAAGGCTTTCACATTCCTAGTTTCCTACCTCTGACTTCCGCTGAGTCCCAAAATCGGTGTGGCTTTACACAAGCCACCCAAGCTCATTGAGCCTCAGTTTCCTTCTCTGTCAGATGATGGGACCGTCACACCTACCGCGAGCCAGTGGCTGGAACGGAAAGGCAGTGACACCATGCAGCAAATAGCCTCTGCCCCGTTGTCCTGTCACCTCAGTTGCATGGGTCACGCTTGGCTGTGCGAATCCACACATTCAAGCCTCACTAGAACATGACACTCATTTACAGGAGCAAAGCAGCTGCCCAAACACGCCCCAAACCAAACCCAGTGCGCTTGAGCCCGTGCTGACGCGCGTAGAGACCCAAGATTACAAATCGTACAGGAGCACACAGTCACATCTTTCTCCCTCAGAGCGGCTGACTCACTTTGAAGCACACACCTTGTGGCGAGGCACCCCAGGCTGAGCCCACAGTGTGCTCGTAAAGCTCAGGGTGGGAGTGACTTCCCACCACCATGCTAAACCAGCGTGGGGAGTTTTGCTTATGAAATCATCTGGAAGCGCCCTTACTGAAGACATACCCTGTGCTGGGTCCCTCCTTGGGCTCTTGAGGGCACAGATGTGCCCACGCACAGTTGCCCCCCAAGTCTCCCTGAGACCATCTGCTCTGCCTGAGATGGTGAGAAAAGGTGCCCGGCTCGGGGGTGTGAGCCGTTGAGATGCTAGAACACCGTCATGGTTCTAAGGCAGAGTTTTCACCGGCCCACCCCCACCCCCCACCCCCGCCAGATGGAGACCAGGGTTCGATTCCCAGCAGGGTACCTCATGAACAGTCACTGGAGGCTTGGGTGGTGCTGGGGTGTTGAACAGGTTTCAGATGGAAGCGGAATCAGAAGAAAAGCCTGGCCATCGACCTCTGAAAAGCAGCTGATGGAGACCGCCCTGATCCGTCGCCCATCAAGAGGACGGCTGCAGACCAGACAGTGTTTCTCTCCGTTGTGTGTGGGGTTGCCCCGTCTCAGGGACCAGAAGAGCTGTGAGGTGTGAAGGAGCCAGGAGAGGGGTATCCCAGGCAGGCACAGAGTTAAACGCTGCCCTTGGTTCTCAGTCTCTGTGCAGAGGGCAAGGTGCCCTGGCGGTGTAGTGGCTATGCCTTAGGCTGCAAACAGCAAGGCCAGCAGTTCAAAACCACCAGCTGCTAAGAGGGGAGCTGGGCCAGATAGTGCCCTCAAAGGAGGAATGCATGGTTGGCGCCATGGCAGCTTCCCATCCTCATAGCCACCAAGGCCCATCCCGTGCTTGTCTCAGCCCACAGAAACTCCCCGGTCACTCGCCTTTCAGGGTAAGCCAGGAGAAAGCGGGGGGCCTATTGTGTCTCAGTCTTAGCATGTAAAGCAATCATCAATGGAAACATTGCTCCTCTCAAAACCAGAGAACAGTGGAAAGGTTCCCCCTTCTCTTCACACAGAGGCAAGGGCAGATGGTGCATTTTCTCACAGAAAACCAGGGGAGGCTTGACCAGAATGTTAACTCTCTCCGGACAGAGAAGCCCAGACTCCCTGCAGCTCCTCCAGTTCATACCTGTCACCTTTACCTGGCCTCCCTCACGCCTTCTGTAGTGAAACGGAGGTGATGGTGTCGCCCTTTCAGAGAGTGTGGGAGAGGTGACAGGCCGCTGCAGGGTCAGCCAGGCTTACTCCTGAACCTGGTGCTTCGCTCACTCCAGAACCTTCGGAGCACTCGTGACTTGTCATGGCCACGACCATAAACCACCCGACACCTGCTTGTCGTCATAGTTGTCAGCTGCCATCGATGTGTCCCCGCCTCGTGAAGACCTCCCCATGCACTGTGAGCCCCGGGCTGCCTGGGGCTGCCCGTCCCCACCATTGGTGGTGGGACAGGCCACTTGACCCATGCCATCGACTGTTTAAGGAAGTATGTCCCTAGGCCTCCCTTCCTAGTCTGTTTTGGTGAAGTAACCTGACTGCAGCCTGGGCTTGTGCATCCTAGCGGCCACCAGCCTTCGTGGTCACGTGCAGTAACTGGAGGGCGGGGAGTTTACCCTGGACCACCACTGCCTATGCCAGGTACCCAGTTGGTGGTGGTGTTAGATGCTGTTGAGCCAAGACAGGGTCTCTCTTGTACTTAATCTCATCCTCTGGTTTGCTTTTTTGATTTGTTAACATGAAAAGCTAAGCTGGATACACTGACTCTCGAGGGCTTTACACCCAGTGTAAGTGGGTGCACACGGGAGGACAGGCTCCCCTATCTCACTAGACCGTACGCGCACATCAGGACTGCACATTGACCCCAGGGCCCTGCCTCGCTCTGCACCCCAGGCCTGTGCAGCTAGCTGTCCATTTCCTTCCTTCGTGTCTGTGTGTGCCGCGCCCGGTCCTGTTTCCTCCGAAGAGTTTGGCCAGACAGGGCTCTGAGCTCATTTCCTGCCAGCACAGCCATCTGTGCTCAGGGCTGGTCAGGGAGGACATCTCCATGGGAGACATCCCAGCCACAGAGCCCCGCGTGACACTCTTTTGTGGCCGCCTCCCTCACAGCAAGGTGCAGAGCGAAGGAGCCCACAATCACTGAGTCCATTCCAGCTTAGAGCCACCTTGGAGGCCAGAGCACAGCTGCCCCATAGGGTTTCTGAGACTCGTCCTTTATAAGGCCAGGCAGCCTCATCTTTCTCCTGTGGAGTGACCTTGAACTGCTGACCTCGTGAGCAGCCACAGTGCCCCAGGGCTCCACAGAAAGACAAAAACTCCAAACGCCTAGCTATTGTGAATCGATTCCGACTCACAGCGACCCCATAGGACAGAGTAGCACTGCCCCTGTGGGTTTCTGAGATGTCACTCTTTATGAGGGTCTCTTCACAGGCCAGGTCAGGAGTGACCTTAAACTTAAGAGGGAGCTGAGGAGAGCCCAGATCTTATAATTAGGGGCGCTGGCACTCAGTCTTCTTCCATCCATAAGTCTGTGTGGCAGCTGATTCGCAGGCTGCCTGGCCGGGTGCTCAGCAAAGCCATGGCGGGAGGTGGGACTTGAGTTCTAATTCTCAGAGTGGTCTTGTCCGCCCTTCCCTTTGCCCCAGCAGTTGAGATAAAGTACACTTCAGCTGAATGGAGATGTTTCCTTAGGCCTTTCTTTATAAGACACTCAGTATTTATAACATGGCATCATCTATCTTTTCTTCTCATTCTTTTTTCATAAATCATTTTATTTAGGAGCTCTCACAGCTTATAACAATCCATACATCCATTGTATCAAGGACATTTGTACATATGTTGCCACCATCATTTTCAAAACATTTTCTTTTTACTTGAGCCCTTGGTATCAGC